GTGCGCACGAAATACTTATTAGCAAAAAAAAGGCGCGCTCGATTTGCTTACCCAGTTGTCCAGGAATGATATTAATATTATTAATTAGTATTTCGTGCGCACGTTAAACTTATTGCGTGGCCACGAAATACTACTTCATGCGCACGAAATACTACTTTGTGGCCACAATTAAACATTTTTTTTGACCATGTCATCAGAGGGACTCCGTAAGATTGAGAGGATGATGGATAACAATATCGAGGAGGAGGAGGGGTCAGTGGAGGCTAATGTCAGGGTTATTGGGGGCAGAGAGCTGATTCCGTACGGAGCCAAAGACCTCCATCGCTGCGGCCCTAAACAGAACCCTTACTCGGCATTAAAATACCAGGTGCATGATCACAGGGAGGCAGTAATCCTTCATAGGGCCTACAAACACACTCTCTGGTTCCCTGCCATCTGCCTGCCTAAAAAACAGCTCAACAAATGTCACTAAAATGCTTCGCCAAGGTCGGCCGAGGCGGCAGCAAAACCACTAAAACCTACAAGGACGTTTGCATGGTATTTAATCAGGAAATTCTTAAAAACCTTTTAAGAAAATACATAATGTGAAACCCATCAAATTGTAGAATATTAAATATTCAACGTGTTGAGTGAGAGCTGTGTCTGACAGAGGGACACGCTGGCTGAGGGAGTGAGGCTTTTTTGCACAGCTGTCAAAGACACGAGAACCTCAATTGCTGAAGACAGCCGTCTTAATATGCGTGAGAGCTTTGGTGCATGGAGGAGAGAGAGGGAAAGAGCGTCCGTCTGTGTTTAACGTCTGGCTGGCTCTGTGCTCGGCTCAGTACTTCGGTACTTTGCTGTAATCCTCCCGGACGACACTCTTGCACAGACACATGGAGAGGATCATTCCCAGAAGCTGCAGCAAATGGAGTTAGCAGATTTATCTTCAGATAAATGATCAAAACATCAGTCAAGAAACAGTAAAATTCTGGGAATATTTCTTCAGACACAAATTTTTTTTTCTATAAATTTGACTATAGGCTATTTTTTCCTGATTTACTAAAATATGTCTATTGTTTAAGTAGCAGATATGGTAGTAAAGTGTAAATGTGCTTTTTCCTGATATTAAAACTATTAAAACTTATACTAAAGCCCCTGTCGCATCTCGACGATTCAGAACAGCGTTTGCCTGAAGTACCGTAATTTTCAGACTATAAGCCGCACCTGAATAAAAGCCGCAGAAGCTAAATTGCATGATTTGTACATATACAAGCCACTATGGAAGAGGATTAGGGCCACTGAAAAAAAAAAAAAAGTTTGCTGATTTTTACATTTTATTTCAGTTTAACGTGGGAAAAAAACTCAGAATTCTGACTTTAATCTCAGAATTCTGACTTTTTTTCTCTGAATTCTGACTTTTTTCTCAGAATTCTGACTTTAATCTCAAAATTCTGACTTTTTTTCTCAGAATTCTGACTT